TTTTCCAGGACCCGTATGAACCCTGGGTGTAACCTGCACCGGATTTCAAGCCAATGAATGTGGGCTTGCAAAAGTGTATTAGCTTCAGTGGAATCTGCACTAAACACAAGCTGAGTTTAGATGTGTTGGCTTGCGTGTATAAACAACTTCCATATCGATATTGCCGAGGAAACTCCACTCAGCAACACCTGAATGAAATAACAAAGAACAAACAAGGCAGGACAGTGCAGTTAATTTTCAAAATGAAAGAAAGAAAACCAATTATAAAGAGTACGACAGAGCAATTTTGAAATAGAAGATAACTTACCTTGAACAAATACTACTAATTTGTGACGGAAAGCTCCTCAAAATTTTTGCCAAAACAGGGAAAATGGCTGCAATTACACGACAAGAGCAACACGCCAGAAGCAATGGCCGACGGAACAACTTGAAATTACTAGTACCCAGTCTACCTACCAGACCATTTATACTCTCGGAGATCTGTCACTATCATCTCTCCTCAAAGTGACTGACAATCAAGATCTGCCTCTGACTTACGGTCTGTATGCATTTCATCCATAAGAACCAAAAATTGAAGATTGAAATGGATTGTGTCATGGGTTTTTGAAATACTGTTCAAACAGTTTTCAAAGTTAGTTTTGTTTGTTTGTAGCTTTAAGTTGTACATAATTATGCCTGGGAGACACAGTCAGTTGTAATGAAGCTATGTTTTTGTCATTTAGATCAGTTCCACAGAAGTGATTTCTTCACAAACAGTAAGTGCTATAGCGAGTATTTGGCAAAATTTATTAACATAAATTTAACTCAGCTGTGACACCGTCCCTTTAAGCTTCATATATTTCTTTTATTTTTTTTGATCTTTCAGAGCCCCCAACCCCCAGGGAATTCCAATCCCTTCTGTGAGGGGAGTATATGGACATTTTCTGGAAGTGTAGACATGTAGGTGCATGTAGCTTAATAAAGCCTTAGATACTGAGCATTACAGAGGTGTCATGACCAAGGCACACATTACTGACCAGGTTTCATTACATGGAAACTTTAAACTGCCTACAAAGTGAATTTTTTTTGTTTTTAGTTTTAAAATTTACCTTGTGCAATACAGGATTCCAAAGTTTGAGGTGTAAGGGGTTAAAAGTAATGATTTTACAAGCCTTCAAAGTTGAGCACTTTGCCCCCCAAAATGGTCAAGAGAATGGATTGAGTTAATCCAAAAATACCATGCTATGACGTCACTTTGTACCAAACTTTTGTTTGCATGATCAAAGTTTCTTGTCAGCAGGGAGTGTTCATGTGAGGAACATGTCGAGTGATTCAGAAATGAGCGATTTGTGAGAAAGATCCAGCAATCTCGAGGAAGAAGAAACTGAAGAACAATTTTTGGCACCAAAATGATGTCAGAGGTTGTTCTCACATGGTATTTTGATCATGGGATTCAAATACCATTAATTTTTGAGGGCAAAATGGTTCAACTTTGAAGTCTTGTAAAAATATTTACCTTTATCACCAGCCATCTCAAACTTTGCAGTCATGTATTTTACAAGGTCAATTTTAAAACTAAACACAAAAAATTCACTTCACATGCACTTTAAAGCATCACATACAGTGTAGCTCAACATAAAATGAAAAAGCCCACATTAAGACGGATTCCACTGAAAGTTTGAGCAATACATGCAAAAATTAATAACCAAACTTCTACTCAAAGCACTGCAATATTTTGTATACTATTTGAAACATCTCACTGTAATTCATCATATTTCTTCAAGTCAGACACTGTAGTTAAATTCTAAAGTATTCTCCAGAAAGTTAATGTCAATGTGTTTTGAACTGACATGAAACATCAGTTTTAACTAAAATATGGATAACTTCAAATCCATTTTTCTCACAGGGTCAGCTTGAGAACTTAAGTTTCGATAAGTTCTTCTTAACTGTATTTAAACCGCTACCATGCTATGCATTCTCCTTAGCATCTTTATTTTTGCCTTTATTGCTTGAATGTTAAGTGGAAACTGTCCTTATTTCACACTATGGTTTCCCAGAAGTACATGTAGTTGTGCACCTGCACTTTGGAGGAAGCTCATTTATTACACAGTAGACTGGCCAAATGCTAAATTTGGAAGAATTAAATAGAGCAACACCATCTGTGTTTATCTGAAGTGATAAATGGATCTCCTTTTGTTTTTGTTCTGCACTTGTTGCTCTGAAGGATCCATCCTTTGCAAAGTGTTTAAGGTACAACTGCCCATCAAAAATGTCCTCAATGTTGCTCTCATGTTCCTTTTTGCTAGTGAAACGGTACTGAAGGAGGTCATACACTTCTTCCCCTTTTGGGTAGAAAAGAAAAAAACAAATAAACATGAGTAGAAAGTTCATAAAAATTACTTTGCAAAATATTTGTTTCATACAGTAAATCTCACTGTGATACAGTGAGAAATAGTTTTCCCCATGACAAAAACTGCATGGAAATGCTTGGTTCACTCTACATGTACTCATCATCTGATTCGACCTTAAGTATTCTGGGCTGAATTTCTGTGTCAAGAAACAGGATGACATAAAAGTGGCATGCCCAGCCTGCTATACAAAAACAAACAAACAAACAAACCCGAAACCTGATTTATCGTAAAAGTGAGACTTGAGTTGTACTTACTTGCTAAAAGGGACTGTAACTGGGTAATGAAAGGTACAACAATAAAGTAGGCAAGAGAACCTTCCTTTGAGAAATCTTTCAGGCAATGTTTGTTTGTACAGTGTTCCGGGTGTCTTTTTGCACCAATGTACTCAACAAATGAGCAGTAGTAGTGGAACTCAATGGGGTTCTTCAACTTCTTGAAAAAATCATGCAGCAACTTCATGGAATGGCCAAAGCAATTAGGTGAAATAAGATGAACTTCAATGAGTACAAGCAGGTCTGCTAAAGCAACTCCTGTGATGCTGTGACGCATGGCAAAAGTAATCATCAGCAGCATGCTCATATCCAAAGTTAAATAAGCTCCTTCGAACAGTGGTATACCACTTGTATCATTTTCTTTGCTTGTGTTTTCGGATTCTGTAGCACTTCTATCCGAGGTTTCAGAGCCTTCCTCGACACTCCAAATGTCATCTAAACATTCCTCTTCATCTGCAGCAAAGGTAATTGCAGGCCTTATGTCAAATAAAGCAGGATCATCCTCTGGGAAGTTCCACGGCCTAACTTCATCTGCGATGCCAGTGGTAGCTGTATTTGTTGGTTTCAGAATTTCGCACTCCTCATACAGTGTTGTATTCGTCTCTTTAACATAAAGTCCTTTGTTACCACTGACATAAATTGCATGTATTGAGTTAGACTCTCCCCTCCCTAGCTAGTCATTATGTGTTGATATATCACATGACGAAGCACGAGGAATAAATACATTTCCCGTGTCAGCCATCTTGACAGTGTCTTTACATTACATGGTGTCAGAAAGAGCAGCGATATCCATAACCAAATAAGCCATTGAGCTAATGCCTGACTGACAACTGTATGTGGAATACCCATCGATTGTATTTACTGCAGGACAGATGTGAAATACGACGACAATGGTGAAATACAAGAGTCCTGAGATGTCGTGGACCGTACAAAATTTACACCAAGAATGGCATCGCTTCAGTAGACAAGCCATGTGCATCTTCGAAGGTCCGTTGCACGACAAAGACGACAGCGTCAAAGTCAGCTACTTAAAGCTGTAGGTAGGTGATAAAGAATTGGATGTATTCGAAGGATTTACATTTGCAAAACCAGAGGATGCTGCAAAATTGACAGTGATAGTGAAAAAATTTGAAGAATACTGCACGCCACAAAAAGACCACATCATGGCTGCGTTGAAATTCAGCGAAAGACGTCAGGGAGACAGTGAGAGTTTCGAATCATTTGTCACAGATCTGAAGATCCTAGTTAAGGATTGTGGCTACCAAGAGGAAGAGCGCATGGTTCGAGACGCGATTGTTTTCCGTTGTAAACACCCTAAAGTGCGCGAGAAGTGTCTTGACCTGGCCGACGAGTTGACATGCGAAAAGGCCATCGAGATTGGTCGAAACTACGAAATGAACCTCAGCAGTCTAAAAAAACTCGCCAGCAACAAAGACCCAACCGTGAATGCACTGAATCAGGAAAAACACCCCTCATGGAATCGTCTGCATTCAAACAAAAACAAGTTCAAGAGGAAGCCACCAACAGAAAAGAATGGCAATTCGAAGGATTGTGAATCGAAACTAAAGAAACCGACAAATAAGTGCCTATGGTGTGGTTATGACAAAACACATAAGAAATGTCCCGCAATGGGGCAGCAGTACAGATACTGCAAGAAGATAAATCATTATGCTAAATTCTGTATGGCCAAGGAAGTCCACAACCTACAAGAAGTAGAAGATTCAGAACAAGAACCCGAGGAGGAGTCAGACCAAGAAGAAGGTGAAGAGGATATGCCTCTATTTGTTTACTCAATTGAATCAAGCTGTGCCGCAGAGGATGAGCAATTTTATGAAGTGGTTGAGGTGGAGGATACCCAAGTTCGTTTCCAGTTGGATAGTGGCGCGAAAGCTAATGTTGTGTCACTGAAGACCTACAGCAACCTCCAGCGTCATCCCTTGCCACTCCTGAAAAAGACACACACTGTGTTGGTTTCCTTTTCCAAGCACAAGCTGAAGCCTCGTGGAGAAGTAGTGTTGAGCACAAGATACAAAGATTAAGTTGAAGATGTCAAGTTCTTTGTGGTAGAACCTGAAGTGGAGTCAGTGCTTAGTGGAAACACCTGTGTCAAACTTGGCCTACTCACCGAAGAGCAGAGTGGAGTTGGACAACTATCCTGAACTGTTTAAAGGACTAGCATGTTTGCCTGGCACCTACCATATAGAACTAACTGATGGTGCTATCCCTGTTGTTCATCCTCCAAGGTAGGTACCAGTACCACAGAGAAAGTCATTGAAGAACTAAAAAGGATGGAAAAACTGGGAGTTATTGTACGGCGAGAACAACCAACAGAATGGGTCAACTCGCTTGTAGTAGTTCAGAAGCTGAATGGTGCAGTGAGACTATGCATTGATCCTAGAGATCTAAATGCTGCCATGAAGAGGTCCCACTACCCCATGATGACAGTTGATGAAGTGGCCAGCCGTCTACAGGGTGCCAATACCTTCAGCATTCTAGATGCTAAGAGTTGCTTTTAGCAGCTGAAGTTAGATGAAGAGTCTTCACTTCTCTGTACCTTTAACACCACAATTGGCCAATACAGGTTCACAAGACTTCCCTTTGGCGTAAAGTGTGCCCCAGAGATCTTCCAAAGAATCATGGATCAAATGGTTGAAGACCTGGATGGTGTGGAAGTTATAATGGATGATGCAATCATCGCTGGAGATGAATCAACACACAATGAGCGGTTGCACAAATTTCTGGAAAGAGCGTCTGCTAAGGGCTTAAAGCTCAACAAGGAGAAATGCAAGATTCGTCAGAAAGAAGTACCTTACGTAGGACACCTCCTTACCGCCGAGGGCCTGAAGATTGATCCCCAGAAGATCAAAGCTATCCATGAAATGCCAGAACTGAAAAACAAAGATGTGAAATGGCTTCTTGGCTTTATACAGTTTCTGAGTCGTTATCTGCCCAAATTATCCACAGTGGATGCTCCCTTACGAGAGTTAGAGAGGTCAGATGTATTATTCCATTGGGACTATCCACAGAAAGAGAGCTTCAAGAAGATTAAGCAACTTGTATCACAAACTCCAGTGCTACAATATTATGATGTCACCAAGCCAGTGACAATCCAGTGCGATGCAAGTGGAAAGGGGCTTGGAGCAGTGTTGTTACAAGACAACAAACCCTGTGTTATGCCTCTCGAGCACTCATTGATACAGAGACGAGGTATGCACCCATTGCGTCTGAAATGTTAGCAGTTGTCTTTGCTTGTCACAAGTTCCACCAGTGCCTCTCTCACAAGTACCACTGAGACTTCAGAAAATGATCCTCAACATGCGTGGGTATGATGTGGAGATACACTACATTCCTGGTTGTAAGCAAGTCTTGGCAGACACCTTGAGTCAAGCATCTGTGCAGAATGATGACAGTAGTGCTTTTGAAGAATTCCAAGAAATAAATGTGGTCCTGTCAGTGTCGGATGAACGATATGAAGAATTCCAGAAGGAAACTAAGAAAGACTCAGAGCTACAAGCAGTTCTTACCATGGTGAAAACCGGATGGCCAGACACAAAACCCCAAGTTCCCGTTGAGGCAAGACCCTACTGGACATTCCGGGATGAGGTTACTACAGCAGATGGACTCCTTTTCAAAGGAACACGCCTTATTGTCCCAAAGTTGCTAAGGCCTTAAATGCTCCGTCAGATCCATGAGTCATCTTGGAATAGCCAAACGTAGACAGAGAGCCAAAGAGGTACTATTTTGGCCTGGAATGTCAGTGGAAATTGAGCAAATGGTCACCAATTGTAGTGTGTGTGCTGACTATGCCAAGAAACAGCCCTCTGAACCACTGAAGCCCTCTGTGCCACCATCACTTCCTTGGAAGAAGATAGAAAACGACCTATTTGAATTTCGCAGAGAACATTACTTACTCTGTGTGCTAACGCAGCAAATTCCTCAAAGTTACAAAGATGGAATCTTTAAGAAGTGGAGCTGTGGTAGAGGAGTCGAAAAGGCAGTTTGGGGTCCATGGAATCCCAGCAGAAGTGGTTTCAGATAATGGTCCCCAGTTCAGCAGTAGTGAGTTCCAGGAATTTGCCAAAGATTATGGCTTTAAGCATACCACCACATCACCACATTACCCCAAGGCTAATGGAGAAGTGGAGAGAGCTATCCAAACTGTCAAGAAGTTGTGGCAAAAGAATGATCAGAAGCACTTGGCCTTGCTGGATTATCAAACAACACCATTACCAGATATTGAACTGTCTCCGGCACAATTACTCATGGGTCGTCGACTGAGAAATAAGTTGCCTGTGATGGAATGTCCGCTTCAGCCTGCAAGCAACAACCAGCAAGAAGTCTCCAGGTATCCGGAGAAGACCAAAGAAACCTAGAAGAAATACCATGACTGCCATGCAAGCAAGGACATGAAGGAACTTCAGCCTGGGACCAAAGTTTGACTGCAGCCTTGGACGGACTCCAGAGAATGGAAGCCAGCCACTGTGGTCAAACATCACCATACACCAAGATCCTATGTAGTGCAAGCTGAAGACAGCAAAAAGTACCGTTGCAACTGGCAACATCTAAGAGTTTACCCAGCTCCAGGACATGGTAGTTTGAATGCAGAACTGTCTTCTGGAGCAGACCAAACTGTAATCCAGGACAAGGAGCCGCCAAGGGATGAACCTAACCGACCTACAGCTCCCACTGTGTTACAGGATATGCTGTCCCAAGAGCAACACCCAGAACCAGCAAAGGCGAACAGTGCAGGTCCAGTTGTCACCCGAAGCGGCAGACGAGTAGTGAAACCTGACCGGCTTGACCTATAGACCAATCTGAGATTGCAAAGACTGTTTTCAGTTGTTGAGTTATTTTGCTCTAAACCAGGAACAGTGACATTTATTTTAAGCCGAAATATTATTTTATTTTATTCTTCAAGTTTTATGTTTCCGAAGGGAAGGATGTGACATAAAATTGCATGTATTGAGTTAGACTCTCCCCTCCCTAGCTAGTCATTATGTGTTGATATATCACATGATGAAGCATGAGGAATAAATACATTTCCCTTGTCAGCCATCTTGACTGTGTCTTTACATTACAACCACCATTTGGTTGTTGAAACTCAGATGAACCTAAGCTGGTTGGAACTTCAGACTCTAGATGACTAGAACGTTGTGAGCAGGTAGGAATTCCACTGGAATCTAAAATTTCTGGATTATCATTTACGAAACTGGATAGCTGTGCATGTATTGAACAAGTCAACTCATTCTGAAGAGGCTCAAACACATTCGCCTCCAGATCTTTGTTATCTGACAACACGTTTTCACTGGCACATGTTAGATTATCTTCAGACCACATCTTTGACTTGTTCAAAATGCGGGAAAATGTCGTTTTAGGGATCTTTGCGTTAGGTTGGGAAATATAGTTTCCATAATGTCCTCTCTTCATTATGGCTTCGGATTTACTGTCCTTTCCTAGAGGAAGAAGAACTGGAATTTGAAGAGGCCATCATACAGGTCGTGCAAACGAAAAAGCGAACAGGACAGAACTTAGTAACCTCTTGTTTATGCGTCCACGACAAAAGTTCAGTGGCATTCTTGAAAGCATGCTCAGTCGTTCAGGTAGCCACGTTTTTTGGCTGGCTTTTTACTGCCAAATGGCCAAGACAACCGCCTTTCTAGACTTTGCTCGATCTCATTTCTTCACAGTTTTGCTTGTTTCTTGCTGGCTTGAAATTGACAAAGACTGTACAAAATCTAGCATACAGAGCTCAAAAGTTATGGGTTCAAGGCATCGGAAAAGTAATTCTCGATACGAGGATGAAGGTAAGAGCTTTCCTTGTACATACTTGCGAGTAGGCTAGCGCTGGAAACAGCTTTGCGCTCGCCTCCACGAGCTTTTAAATTAAAGCAAACCTAACATAAAAGAAAGGCTGCTCTCCAGGGTATATTAACATATTGACAATCAAATTGAAGTGAATATGTTTTTGATTTATTTTACCTTATTTTAATATTCATATTCATTGACAGTCTATGTACAGTATACGTAAATGGAAGAAAGCCTTGCCTTGATAAAGAATTACAGCCCGAGGTGTCATTTTACGGGCAAAATCTCTTCCCCTTCATCCATTTTATTTCACATGGTAATCCTACTGAAGGGTTGATTCAACGTACATTTTTTGCAAGCCCTGTGAATTCTTTTCAACAAAAATTTTAGTGGGAGGGACATTGGGGGTGCTGAATCACGAACCATGACCGCACCACCGGAAAAAATTCGGCACTGCAACAGCCACATGGCGAAAAAAATCGGAAAATCCCGCACTGTTATAATCTGGCAGGTGGTTTCATTCTTACAACAACAATGACAGGCTCGTTTTTACTGAAAAATCAAGTCTTTTGTGGGGTATTTCAGGAAATACCACTCCAAAAGTTTGCACAACTAAGTATATAGGAGTTGATCCATAAAGTTTCCCATGACACAAGAAATAAATTTCATCAAGGTGACTGAATTTCAATTAAAATAGATCAACAAAGAGGACAATTCTTTAACCCTTTATTCTGCGGGGGTGGGGGGCACTCCTGTAAATTTGAGATACATGTAGGTGTGTGCAGTGAACGGTCTTAAACCCTGAGCCTGTTTAGGGATGAAGCTAACGAAAAAGATACCCTATTTAGGACCCAAACCCGAAAAATGACACCCTATTCAAGGGGAAAACAAAAACCAAACAACGGCTAACCGCACACGGCACGACGCAAATCTTTATAAAATATCTTTGATAATACTTGTAATGGATATTTTGGATTTAACAGATCATGTTTTTCGTTTAGCTAGGCATTTTTGCCCTGCAATTTTAGCTGACACCATTTAGGTACCCTATCTAAGGATAACGCTGGGAACACGTTCACATGGGCAAAACCGATACCCTATTTAAGGATTGACAACCTCAAAAACCATACACCATCCTGCGGCACATACCTATATAGCCCATATATGGGCCCCCCCTCTCTCTCCCCTCCCTGACGGGCCTTTATTATGTTCCAGTTTAAAACAGTTTTGTCTCTAGGCACTTTGTTACACATCTATGTGTATGTACCAGGTTTTCATAAAATATATCATTAACAAGTTTTCGTAGAATAAGCTTTATAATCGAGTTTATTTGAATTCCATTTGTTTAGAATTCACTCTAGTCCAGTTCTTGGAAGATGGAATTTCTCATGTACTTCCATCAGTTGATGTTACTGTTGAAGACAATGAGAAGGTTGCTAAGTATAAAGACAACAGATTTCACAAATGTACAGTTCTCAAAATATCAGGTAAATTAACAGAATGACAGGAATTGTATATTATGCCTCCAATAGCTTAGATGTCAACTTCATTTATCAGCAGAATTACTAAGGAGTTGTGGTATTGTGAAACCACTAAGGTAGGCCACTAAGGCTTAAAATGTGACTTTTAATCGGCTTACACTCAATCAATAAACAAAGTAAGTCCCTTTCCTGCTCTTTACCCCTCTGTAACTCTCTTTCATCAACTTTGTCATAATTTCGTTTTCCTTGCTCCATAAGAAGTATAAATTCACCAACTTCATTCTATAAATTTTGACAAATTGCAATCTAATAATTAAGTTTGGTGTATCACTGCAGCCCAAAGCTGGGTTTGTAACAAGGGTCATGGAAAACCTGGAAAGTC